CCAGAGTGTCTCTATGGCTGCCCTTACATGCAAGGCAAAGAGCAGTGCAGGCTGCAGCAACCTGGACCTGGGCTCCATCCCCAGGGAAGTAGGGACTGGGGGTTGGGGGGACTAAAGCTGAGGCTGCGTGGGTGCAGGGGACTGGGGGGGAGGGAGATGTGGGGGGTCACTCAGGAGGGATGGGTCCCTGCCTGCCCCCCGCAAGGCCCACAGCCCCCCCCCACAGCAACAGTAGCCATCAGGGTGCTCAGGCCCTCCTGGCACAGCCCCCCACCCATCGGCATGGGGCAGCATCGTGCAGCCCCCGCTTCCTGGCACCCAGCACTGCCTGTGCCACATCATGTGGGCCCAGCCTGGCTCAGCACAGGGCCATGTGCCTTCAGGCAGCTCTGGGCTGCTCGAGCTGTTACCCAGGGGCCGGTACCACTCACAGAGACCACCTGTCACACCGGGCTGGGTCCTGAGTGTGCAGGTCCTGCACGCCATTGAGCTGGGCCAGTTCCATGCATGCAGGACCCAGCCTGGTGCAACAGGCGGTCCCCGTGAGCAGCGCCAGCCTCTGGGTGACAGCCCGAGTGGCCCAGAGCTGCCCAAAGGTGCCAGGCCCCGTGCCAAACTGGCCCAGGCCCACGTGATATGGCATAGGCAGCATCGGGTGCCACACAGCCCCACACTGAGCAGGGGGGCTGTGCCAGGAGGGCCCCAAGCACCCTGGCAGCCACTGCTGCTGCAGGTAACCTGTGGGCCCTGTGGGGAGGGGTTGTGGGCCCTGCAGTGGGGGGGCTGTAGCCCTGTGGGGGGGGGACATGGGATGTGTGGGAGGGCATGTGGCCTCTGTAGGGGGGGAATGTGGGCCCTGTGGGGGAGGGGCTGTGGCTCCTGTAGGGGAGCTATGGCTCCCATGGGGACAGCAGTCTGTGAGCTGTGCAGGGGAGCTGCACCCGGTGGGGTGAAGGGGACACACCCCTCCTGAGCAGCGCCCCCAACACAGCCCCCCCCCCCAATCCACCCATTAACCTCACACCCCCAAGACACTCCCACAAACCCATCACCCACATAGTTGGCCCTGTGGGTCAGGAGTGAGGGGACTGGAGCAGGGGGAAGGCTGTGGGTTGAGAGTGAAGGGCAGGGCACTGGCATATCAGTGCTACTCAGAGCTGCACATGCTGGTGAGAGAATGGGGGTGGGGCAGCTCTGATTCTTCTATGACAAAAAGTCAAAAGTAAATGCTAAAGTGTATAAATATTTAGAAATTATTTTATGATGATGGTAGAGGCGCTGGTAGGCTTCCAAATTGCTCTAAACTTGTAAATATAACAATAAAACATCACTTAACTGATCTCTCTATAATTTAGTGGCATTTCATTTTAATAGTGAAAGAACACTATTTTGGGTATTTTAATGAGAGAATTTGGGTTTCTTATAAAAGATTTTGCAATGTTTAAACAGGGCACACCAGGAGCTCTGCTACTGAGACAAGTGGCAAGTCCTGGGCAGAGGAGCCTGTCCAGGGCCAGCACTGGGGACCCAGCTGGAGGGCAGATGAGGTGGCTGACCTCTTGGCCCCAAATGGCCAAGAGGACACACTTGGCCAGTTCAAAGCAGGCCACCTCAAGGAGCACATTTTCTGGGCAATAGCTTCTCAGATGGCAGAGTGGGGGCACTAGCTCGCCCTGGCTGCAGATCCAGGAGGAGCTAGGTAGGGTTATTTTGCCCCAGGTGGCACAACTTGCCCCGTACTAAAGTGCATGTCCAGGTATGTGCGCTGAGGCAAAAATCCCCAACTCAAATTTGTGCTGCTCTCATTTGAGCTGCTGCAAGCGCACACGCCTGCATGTGTGAATGCACCCCAGATGATCTTTTTGCCTCACCTCTTTCTGCTTCCCCAACTGGAAAGAAAAGGATGGCTAGGGAGGGAGCAGATCAGAAGACCAAATAGCAGGGTCAGAAGATGAGGGTCCATCACAGGTCCTAGATTCTTTCAGCCCCTTTGACTCAGACTTTAGTCATCTCTGTGCATCAGCAGATATTATTCTGCATCTCTACCTGCATCCAGTCCGCACATCAGATGCCCTTTAATGAGCCAGGTGTAAACATCAGATACCCCCAACCAGATTCCTACACATCCATCTGTTTCTCTCTCCCAACACCCAGGTATCCAGGACAGAGTTGCTTCAGGTACCTCCACCACTCAGCACCTATCCATCACCTGTTTACCATGCTCCTACAGCACCCACCAAACCCAGGCACCCTCTAGACACATTCCATCATGCCTGCCATAGCAGCCAAGTTTTATGGAGCTCTGTACTCCACCCTGTCACCAATTGGGGTAGGGTCTGGTAATTATAAACTGAAGTTTATAATTTCTTGCAAATTATTTACAATCACTCAAATTAACTTATTAAGACATTTGCATCATCTGTCATACTCTCAGCAACACAAAATTAGTAACTATGATTGATCAAATCAATGCAAAAATAGGCATTTGATCAGGCCATTTTAAACAAACATATTATAATATCTCAAACACATCATAATGCCTTTACACTAGGTTGATTCATAGGTAGCTATGTTTCTGTTTAGAGCACAATGCTGTCACATGACCTGCCCCAAGCCAATTCTGTATTTACGTTTGCTATGTATCTATCCCATCATCTCCTACCAACAATGCCTTTGAGGAAAACATGCTGAGATGCTTCCTGATTGGGGTCAATTTCCAACACTGGAACCCTGTTGGGTGCATCTCAAGCTATGAGCCAAACAAAGACATAAAGCCACCGTCAAGATAAAAGTCAGACATTTTAAAAACAAATCTTTGCCTAATGTATGATAATAATAACAATTTAGATGATTTAAACAGCAAGAATATTAACCTACTTTATTTTTTACCACTTAGACTGTTTTAATTTTTTTCACTCAGCTTTCACAATCAAAGTAGAACGGGGTATTTAATGAGTTTTCCAATTTTCTCTCATTTTTTGCTTATTCTGCATTAAAACAATACAGCTTCATAGGAGGTTGGCATCTGCAAAGTTTCAACAGGCAGTCTGGTCCATTTTTGTGTAAAATGTCTTCTTCCTCTGAGGTACCTATACATTGCATCCCTGAGTGTGTTCATGTGCATATAGTGGGTATATACTGAATTGTTCTTAAATATAATAGGTCCCCTTAATGTTGCCTCTAATCACTCCTTCCCACCAAAATAAAAATTCCACACTCCATTTATGACCATACTTTGCTATAGTGTTTGTAGAAGAGGCATCTGATGTTCGCAGATGACTCATTGAAGGGGGTGGAGGAACAAGTGGTGAAAAATGTCTCTGGAGGTGTTGGGATGACTAGAGTCTGATTAAGATGAATGGGAGACTCTAGGACCTGTGGACACTCAGCTTCTGACCCCCTCTCCCCCAGCTGCTTGTTATTAATACCACCACCTCCTCCTCTTAAGTGCTCCTTCCTCATCAGTTCCCTTCTTTCCAGTTGGGGAAGTAGAAAGAGGGAAGGTAGAAAGACCACCTGATAGGTTGCTCAGCAGGCCCTTAAGTTATTCCCAGTGGCTGGTATAAGCAATTCTGAGTTGTTCCTGCAGCCGATTTGAACATGGCATCTCTGCTGGGCAGCACGAAGCTGGGAATCACATCAGATGATATTAGGGAATGCAGCCAGAGATTGTTACATTTTCTCCTGATCCATATGTGGCTTTAATGAAATGACACTAATAAACTCTCTGGGACTTTGGCCTGCATTTAGAATACTGGGTTGGTCACTTTGTGAAACACAGTAAAAAGCAACAAAAATGTTATTAATCAGTGTAAAAAAATATCAGTAATCTATCTGATGGCAATTTGTGGAAGTGCAGTTCTTTACAAAAGAAATAGCTGCAGGAGAAAAAAGTACTAGATCTTCTTGCATACAGTATATCTTTCCAACAGCAAGAAGCTGGAATTTGGACTATGCAATATATGCAAGAAATATGGCAAGAGCAGTTTCTGACACTGGGCAAAAGCAGAAGTAAAGTCTGCATCAATCTGTAGGGAACAGAACAATGAGAAGGCTTAGCTCCCTAGCTTCAGTTCAGCTAATATTCAGTTACTTTCTACAAAGAAAGATCTTTTTTCTTCATTCTGCTTCTCAAAAACAAGGTGTGTATCTTATTCCAGGATGTAATGTATGCAACAAAATATGGTATTCAGGTCATTCTCTCCATTACCAGTGACTACCCTAATGCTGCTTTGGTGACAAATACTGATTTATATTTTGGCAAATATGTTTAGCTCTATAATGACATCAATTAATTGAACCTGGAACTTGAATATTACATTAATTTATGTTACATTTCACTTGTACGAGCTTGGCTATTTCTCTTCCCAGGTAAGAATTTGTCCAAGGAAGAAATGGTGATGATGATGAAGATGTAAAAAGCAGACCAGCATGCTGGCTGCATCTCCCATTAGCAGTGCCCCTTAGGTGCTTCACTGGCAGGGAGTGATCATATCTGTTTCTAGACAATACTCTCCATTTTTGGATTGTGCTGACCCTGACAGGTTCCCTACGGAACAAGGATTAGAGCATCTTTCTGACATCATAACCTCCTTCCACCAGTTGGCAAGAGATAATCCTAAAGTGGAAGCAAGAATAAATAAACTCCTGGGTGAATTTAGTTACACAAGCAATGAATTCTACTCCTCATGCCATGATGCAGTGACAGCCTTCCTGCAAGTTGTATTCCTCATCTTTTTGCCCCAGAATGTTCAATGATATTTTCATGTAACCCAAATTCATACAGTGCTTTATTTTTAATGTATGAATATTTAATTTGGCAAAGGAGGAAGAGAGTATCATCTGCGGGGGGAAAGAGTAAGTAGTAACAGCTGAAGCTACATCTTATTTTGATAGACCAAACACTGATTATAAGTAGCAAAAACAGGGACCTTTTTTTTAAGTTACATAGGGTGAAAAGCATTAAACAAGCCTACCTCCTTCCATCCCAGATCTCTCACCTTTGTAGTCCACAGTTTGACAGTCCAGTCAAATGACGATGTAACAAAGAGATGGGAAAAGTCAATTGGGCCCACTGCCATGTGGCAATTGATTCCTGTGACAGGCCCTTGGTGGCCTTCAAAGATTTCACCAATACCTGCTTTACTGCAGAAAGAAAATACACAAACCTTAGTCACAGATTTTTTAATTTTCCTTATCTTCAGGTTCATGCCTCACTGATTCTCTGAAAAGTTGTGTTCAATCAGTAAACCTCAGCTAGTTTCTTTTATGCCATTGTCTCCAAAGACTTGTTGTTGTGGGCACAATTCATTCACAGAACCCCTCATATAGATGTCTTCTTATAAGTTGCTTTCACATACAGTATCAGAGAGACTGTGGTTTGCAAGAACATCTCTGAATAATAATAAAGGAAAGACTCACAGAGACTAACGAATCCAAGTAACCCATTATCATGCAGAGCATCCATTAAGATTGCAAGCTGCTTTAATAAAAGACATCAATTACAGTTCCCTTTCTTTCTGAACATCTGAAATAACTTTTTCAGGGAAGCTAGGCAATTCACTCAGAAGTAGATCCTTCTTACTTAACTCTACTGAATTTAAAGAAACTGTTCAAAACAGCACAGTGAACAGGACTTGTCTCCAAATCTTAGGTCCAGCATTGGTTTGAACATGTGGCAATTTATATTGCATTAGAATGATTCAAAGAAAGAACGGAGCAACTATAAGAAAGCAAAAAATAGATTTCCATTAAAGAGAGACATTGAGAAACACTCTTATGCACTTTCTACAAACAACCATTCTGAGTTGACTCATATCACTCCCCCATGGTACCCAAAAAAAGCATTATACCACCCCTGCTTTTATATGGATACCACAAAAGAAACAAACACAGTCAACACATCTATGGATGACACAGCTGCTAAGGCCATGCATTTTTGCCCTTGCTCAGTGGGATGAGAGTGAATGCACAGCAGCCAGCAGCTAAATCCTCAAAGGCCTCTATCAGTTATGGCAGCTTGCTCAAACTAGAAACTAACCACAGCTATTAGTAAGCCGTTAAAACCTACAATGCCTCTGAGGAAGCACTGACTTGTCAGCCAGTTTCGCTGTACCATGTTCCATAGTTCTGGTGTGAAGCATGCCAATTATTTTATTGTTTCTACATAGGGCAGGATATTTTATTGTTACGTTCGAGAGATATATAAAGAGCATGAAAAACACTTTTTCCTTTACACAGCTCTCTCTAAAATTTTGTTTCCCTTTGTAATGTATTGTGTTGAAGAACACGAGAGCCCATGAAAATAAATTTTATCTTGTGGATGATTCCAATCCCACATGCATGGAAAAGGGCAGAGTGCATTTTTCATAGTGGTCAGGGGATATACTAAAAGAGCATCAAGCACAAGTTGCCTCCTCTTGTGGGGTACACAAAAGCAGGAGCATGTTTGAAAGTTTAGAAGTGCTAAATCAGAAATGACCCAGGGCAGCTTTCATTTATTCAGACAGCCCAAGACTAATTCAAACCATCAGTCACCCTATCATTGCCTAAGTAGAGACATTCAAAATTGCTATGTATCAGCAATAAAGCTAAATATCCAAGGTTTTCATTAATAAAAGGTATACCTTTTAAAGAGTCTATGAACTGTTCTATTATTTTAATATTATGAATATGGAAGAGTATTTAAATACTATAGCAATATTAATGGAAATTAACTGGTTATTACAATATAAAATTAAAGCACATGGCACTGAGAAATATCAAAATGTAGAACAAACTGTAAACCCAAGAATGGAATGGAATGGAATGCTGAGAAGCATGTTCTTTACAAGCATCCAGCACAGTGAAAATGTTACCAGCAGTTAAAACAAGCACACAAGTGTGCAGAAATGCATTTTAATGAACATGAGGAACTGATCTTTGAAGTGGCCCCAGGTGAGATACCACTTACCCCTGAAAAAGTTTACAGAGTGCAAAATAAGGAACTCATTTAAATTATGGAAGTGGATTTGCACCTTCACTGCTCTAGGAGAACAGGAGATCATTGTTGTAATGTGCACAGTGGAAAGGCTCTTCTATGATCTGTCACTTAGATCTGTACAAAAGATTAGTTCAGATCTTGGGTAGCCCTCCAAACAATGTTAGGAAACATTCTTTTGGATGGTACTTCCACTGCATTTCAGACTGTCACTTTATCCATATTTATACCCAGGGCCTGATCCCACACTGCTTACCCAGACAAAACTCTCATAGAAGTTTAGAGGAGTAAAGGTTGCAGATCAGACTCCTCATAAGTAGCATCACGTTCAGGCAAAAGTCTGTCCTATGTTATTAAGGTGCTCTCCCGAGAAGATGGTTCCACAAGTTATCCCTATAGTGTAACTCAGCAGACGAAACTGAGGGTGCAGATCTTGTTCAAAGGACTAAAATGGACTAAGGAAGAGCAGTCAACCAGCCCGGCTCCCACTACGCACGCTACTGCTAATAGGAAGTGCTAAATGATGTAACAACTTGCAGATACCCTACAAGTTGGAACAGGAGCTGCTGGGGGGGATGATTTGGAGGGTGAAACTTGGAAGCTTCTAGGAAGCTCCATGCATTCAGGGAATTGCACATCTCTGATCACACAATGCACCATTTAGCTGCAAGCAGCAGCACTGAAACCAGTGCACTTCAACAAAGATCCAAGTCGCTGCAGTCTAAATGGACTCCATGTATGCAGGACCCTGTGCATGAAACAGATGGGAGGTAATCACAGCTACCAAATGCCTTGTTCCAGTATCCATGGAGCCAGTCTTCTCTGGACAGGCAGAAAACCTCAGGGCTGGCACTGTTCTGCCCTTCCCTGCCCCTCACCTCAAGGTGAAGTTACTGTCAGAAAGCAGACCCAAAATGAAGCTGAGGCTGGGGAAGGAACTACATGCAATCCTAACAGAGCATTAATGGCACTGATGATAATGGACTGAAATAAGAAAGATAACGTTCTCTGTAAAACACAAACACTATGATGTAAGAAGCAATTCTGAAAATCACCTTCCATGACGGCAAGCTGTGTAGACTGTCCCCTCCTCACTGCCCACCACAAAGTTATTGACATCTCCTGTTGGGAAAGCCATTCCTGTGACTGCCACTTGTTTGGATTTATTGTACGCCAGTTCCATACTCTCCTACCAAAACAGACCATAGTTATTTTCTGATTGTTTCCCAGTTGTTTTTAAAGGCATCAAGGGGGGGGAAAAAAGGTTATTTTCCTAAATCATTTATTGTTTTTGCATAGGTTGTTACAAGATGCATTGTCATAGAATATGAAGCACTGCTGCCCATATGCTGCTGCATATCACATGTTTCAGGCTGGCTGGAATTTATCAGTCTGTGCTTCATCTTCTGAAGTCAAGCAGAGATGACAGGTGAGAATTTAAAAACTAATGGTGCAGAAACTAAAGATAATACCTTAATGGTTACACTTGTCATCCCCAGGCTCTAATAAAGCACACAATACCCTTATATTTACAAACATTTTGAAATCAATTGTTTGCCAGGAACACATGTAATATCTGATACACCCAGGACACTTATCAGACAATGCAATTTGTCCCTCTGTAGAACAGAATAAGAAAGTTAGGATCAAGTCAGCATTACTGTTCTAAACATTATTTCTCAGGGGTTTGTTATAGCAGCCATAAATATTTGCCCAGGTTTTTACTGTCAAGCTGCAAGCTGATGAGAATATTTTCCGTTATTTCCCCACAGTTAGGCTTCAAACCAAATCAGCTATGTTTGCTTTTTTTGAGTAAAATGAATGTGGGCATTTCTTTTGTATAAGCCTTTACTTGAAAGAGATTTTTTTTGCACGTATATAACACCAAACCACTTGTTTTCTTAAGTGTAACCTAAGAATCTGTGATGGGGGTGAACTGACTTCATAATTTTTGTGCATAACTATTTAAGAAAAGTTAGAGTGTTGCTACAGCTGTGATGGTCTAGGGGGTATACAAGAAAGCATAAAGTGTCCTTCCTCAGACCTAAGCCTTAGGGACTGGTCAGCGTGTACTGTTGGGAGAGTTTTTTTTCTGTAGCCACAATCAGCTGGACTTTTCATAAAAGGAAGGGATGTAAAATCCGGCATATAGATAATCCTTACTACCAAGTTCATATGCTCCTATGAAAATATTTGCCTTTGTTAAAAAACTCAAAACAAAAAATAGAAAATTTACACACATTCTATATTTATAAAGTTCAGGACTGTAAAGCAAAATAGCAAAAGCTATGGAATCCCAAGTTGAGGCTAACACATTCACTTCTAGTTTTGTGACTTTCTTTGTAAGAACAGAATAAGTTAAGATTTGACACAATTTACCATGTTGACACAATTTACAATGCTGTTAGAACTAGAATTACTCTGTAGATGCATATCCCATTTAAATGGAGAGTTTACAGAAATTGAAACTGAAGTTAAACAACAAACATTTATCTTTGAAGGGATAGTAATGTTCCATTAAGAGGCATTTCTACAGGATATTTTGAAAAAATCTGCCCAATCTATTCACATTATTTTAATAAAAACAATAATAATATATTCTTCATCCCAGTAGATGAAAAATGAGAAATAAGGGATGTTTTGGAATAGAAAATAACATAAAAATCGAAGCGTTCCAAAGGTCTCTTTCAATATCTCTTCTTTGTTTAGTTTGCATTACTATAATCACTAGTGGCTTGGAAACTTTTCCTGGATTTCCTTTTATTTCTAATACAAAGGAGAGGGGAAAAAGACAAGAGTAGCAAACATTCCAAAGTGTGCATGTGTGTGGGGGGTGCCCAATTAAAAACTTTAGATTTGCATTGTTTGTTCCCTTGGTAACAAAATGCAGGCAACAAACTAAGCTTTTTGACTTTGTGAAAGACATATAAGTGGGTAGGGTGGGTTCCACAGCAGTGCAGTCTACTCCATATTTGTTAAACAATGCTGTACAGTAAGCACAATTTATACCACAGGCAACTTCTATAATTACCGTGTTTTAAACTAGATTATTTCATTTTCACTTGAAACTGACCTATGTATTAACGTATTACAATAATTACATGATTTGTGGTAAAGGAAATGGGTTTTGGCTCTTAGAGGAGACTGCTGGAAGCAAGTGCATCCATTGGTTTTAGTTTGTGTAGGATGTGAGGTTTTGGCTTTTGCTGTGTTACATTAAGCAGGTATCTGCTTTAACCAGGATGCTTTTTTGTGTGGAGGTAAAAATAAACCCACCTGTGGAGTTGAGAGCATATCCAGACTCCAGGAGCACATTTTGCCATCTGTGGAAACTGTAATGAGATTGTGCGCATTCTGTGTTCCAACTACATTCACACAGTACACGGGGTGCTGAAAACACATTAAGACTGGGAATCAGATATGGCATTCTTACATTTTCAAAAACAAATTTCAATTTCAAATGTCAGGGATGTTGTTTTAAAGAATGATTAAGTAGTCACGTAATGCCAGCACAATACAGTTACTCAGCTATTTGCCAGAGAGGAATTTAACTTGCCTTTTGTTTAAACTTTAAAAGGCACGTTATGGTGGTGAGAAATGTTTTCAAAGCTTCATTTTACTTCATAAAACAACTCAACTGAGTAATTCTGCGAAAATGTTGAATTATATGGATGATATTTCACCCACAGGGACACGTATCATTCTGCTGATGGTTTTGATGCTGAAAATGACTGGCAGAAGGAAGCAAATCATCCAAATGGAATCGAAATGAAGACTTTATTCAAGAAAACAGCTGCACAAAAAACTTGGACTTTGCCATAGTTTGGCTGCCGTACGAAATATTTGCAGATGTACTTCAATGGAAAACTGTGAACAAATCCACTAGTCCTCTTGACCATAGGCCAATTTATATTCAAAGCTATCAGTGTAAATCTGAATTGACTACACTAGCCTAGGGGTTTACACCAGAGTTACACCAGGGGAGCTGAGAGCAAAATTTGGTCCACAGATACAAACTTGGTCCATTTCACATGCTATGATGAAGCATGATGAATTTATTTTTCAGGCATCTTGAAGGGTTAAATTTACAAGAGGCTGCCATCAATGCTCATCTGCAATCATTTGCAATGCACAATGTTGCACAGACCATCCTCTGTGCCAGGAAATGACAGAATGTATGTGAGCAAACTCCATTTAAAGGTTACAGCCAAATTCTGCTCCTGTTGGAGTGAATGGCAAAACTACCAGTCACTTCATCGATGCAAGACCAGCCCCTACATGTGTAAATTCCATCATCTGCAAGCACAGGAAAAATATGATGAAGAACTGTGCATGCAACTGACTGCACATGAAAATCAGTGTTATGCACAGAGGTCAGATTTGGAAAACATGTCCCCAAAACTAGATTTTTAGAGAAACTGATTCCCTCATACCCATAGGAAAAGCCCTAACATGACCTTTCCTGGTGTACTTATTAACACAGCACTAAAGGCTAATTAGCACATATTCTTATATAAAAAGCATTTAGTCTATCAGTCTAAGTTTTAATGGGCATTTGTCCTCATAAAATGAGCTCTATGCATTTGTATAACAGCTCCTAGGCTGGTATTGCAAGGAAGGAAGAAGGAGAAAGTTCAAATTGGCAAATTTTCCATGGGCATATTGGTGGGCCAGCAGCACCTTCCCAAAGAGTGCCTGGGATTAATCAGTACTACCAGCCATCAGTTTCATGAGTGATAAATCTCACTGCAGAATTTAAATGCTGTCAAGAAAACAGATGAAAAAGACAACCAGCTATACATAGCAGAAAGTATAAATGGGGTCCCCTTCCTTTCAAAGGGTAGATCCCATCTTGTTTTTATTTATTTTGGAAATGAAATCATCATGCAAGAGGTTTTTCACTTAATTAAAATTTCCTGTTGTCCCAAAGGCAGATGTGGGGTGGGTGTGAAAGGAAATTAGTGAGTAATCTGTGGTAGGACTCTCTTTCCTTATGAATCTGGGCACCAATCAAGGGATATAAACTCAGGGAGTTTTTAAACCCATGATAATTATGCAATTTTTCTTTTTTTCCAGATAACTAAGGAAAGGGAGGGGGGGGAAGTATGAACCCCTTGTTTATACACAGAGTAATCTTAAAAATACCTAAAATAAAAATAACGAACTATTTGACTCAATTACCTAGCTGGATGCAGAATAACACTAACACAGAATAATTTTCTTGATTTAACGCAATTTTTTGTACTTAACAGCTTAGGATATGATCCAGAATTTGCAAACCAGGACCAATTTTAAAATAAATGTGTGTTTTGCCTATGTAAAAATAGGGGGGAAATGGCCCATTTTAATTTGGAAAAGTTATTCTTCTACTTAAGAACAAAATGCCACATTGCCTAAGACAGCATTTCATAGAAACACAGAAAATTAGGGTTGGGAGGGACCTCAGAAGGTCATCTAGTCCAACTTCCTGCTCAAAGTAGGGCTATCCCCAATGATATCATCCCAGTCTATGCTTTGTCTAGCCAGGTCTAAAAAACTTCTAAGGATGGAGATTTCACTACTTCTCTGGGAAGCCTGTTCCAGTGTTTGTGAGAGAGTTTTTCCTAATATCTAACCTAAACTTCCCTTGCTGCAACTTGCGGCCATTGCTCCTTGTTCTGTCATCTGCCACCACTGAGAACAGTCTAGCTCCATCGTCTTTTGAACTCCCCTTCAGGTAGTTGAAGGCTGCTATTAAATCCCCTCTCAGTGTCCTCTTCTCCAGAATAAATAAGATGGACTGCCCTCTCCTGCACTGTCTCCAGTTTGTCCTTTGTGTAGTGGAGTCCGAAAACTGGGCACAGTACTCTAGATGTGGCCTCACCAGTGCCAAATAGAGGGGAATAATCATGTCCCACAATCTGCTGGCAACATTCTTACTAATACAGTCCAGTATGCTGTTAGCCTTCTTCACAACAAGGGCACACTGTTGGCTCATACTCAGCTTATGGTCCACTGTAAGCCCCAGGTCCTTTTCTGCAGAGCTGCTGCTTAGTGCTTAGCTAGTCAGTCCCCAGCCTGTACTGGTGCATAGGACTGTTCTGTCCTAAGTGCAGGACTTTGCACTTGTCCTTGTTGAACCTCATGAGATTTCCTTTTGGCTCAATCCTCCAATTTGTTGAGATCTCTCTGAATTCTAGTCCTACTTTCCATCTTATGTACTACTGTCCCCACCCCAGTGCCTTGGTGTCATCTGCAAACTTGCTGAGGGTGCACTTCATCCTATCTTCCAGGTTGCTGATGAAAATATTGAACAAAACCAGCCACAGGACTGACCTCTGGGGCACTCCACTTGAGACCAGCTGCCCACTACACATTAAGCCATTGATTACTACCCTTTGAGCCAGACAATCCAGCCAATTTTGTATCCACCTTACAGTCCATTCAACCGACTGGTATGTCCTTAGCTTGCTTGTGAGAATGTTTTAGGAGACTATATCAAAAGCCTGCTAAGGTCAAGGTAGATCACATCCACTGCTCTCCCTGCATCCATGCAGCCAGTCACCTCATCATAAAAAGCAATCATGTTGGTCAGGCATGATTTGCCCTTGGTGAATCCATGCCAACTGTTCCTAATCACCTTCTTCTCTTCCAAGTGAAATGGATTCCTTGACGGCCTACTCCATGATTTTTCCAGGGACTGAGGTGAGATAGATCAGTCTGTAGTTCCCCAGATCCTCCTTCTTTCCTTTCTTCAAGATGGACAATATATTTTCCCTTTTCCAATTGTCTGGGATCTCTCTTGATCACCATGAGTTTTCAATGATAATGGCCAGCAGCATTTCAGTCATATTGGCCAACTCCCTCAGCACTCTTGAGTGTATTGTATCTGGCCTTTTGAACATGTACACATCCAGCTTTTCTAAATAGTCCCTAACCTATTCTTTCATCAATGTTGGCTGCTCACCTTTTATTATTAAGATTTAAAATTTGATTATTAAGAGAGTCAAGCATTTTTTTCAGGTAATATCTTTTACTGGACCACCTGCATGGATGGAATAAGTTAAGGAAGCTTTCAAATGCAATGCATTCTTCATACGTATAAAACAGACAGGTAACATTCACAAATAATCTGTTTATATTTGTTGTAATTAGAACATTATATATTGTCCTCTGCTACTGGGAAAGTGATCCAAATTTAAAATACAGCTCCTAGAAAATATAATTTTGTCTGAAAAAAAATATTAGGTATAGAGGAAGAACAAAGAGTTGCATTCCTTTCACTCATTTTGTGCTCAGATCACTCAGTTTTCTATGCTGTTCACAGTGTCTTGATCCTAGTTCTCTGGCTTCCCAAATTGCTAGATTACCTGTGAGGAAAGCACTGTTTCCTTCCATTCAGAGTGAACAATGTTAGCTCAGCTAACTAGAAATAGAATGGGCAACAATATGAGGGTAATTAAATGCAATGTTGCAGTTGCAATTTATGGCATAATTTGGGCTTTAGAAAGTCAGACAAATATTCCCAGTGACAGAAATCTTAAGAACTATTTTGCTTTTCCAATATCAGTGTCTGTGCACACCTGCCATTTTCTAATATGTATGGCAATGCAATCATCAGATTAGTGCCATATTGAATGTTTGTACTAAATTATGTGTAATGGTTTTTACATGTTGATTTTTAACCCTAGGGATTATGTTGTCATAGCAAGCTAAAGATTTAACCTTCAACTGCAAATTCCAAACATAAATGCCATAGAATTATAGAATCCAGAGACACAAAGACCTGTTAGCACGGGATCTTCCTGATAGCCTGCATCTTCCCGTTAGCATGGGATTCATTGCTACTTTTTGAAGTGCTTTGAGTACCCCGTTTCCTTATATTTCTAGTGATCTCCTACTGGAAGTTTATTCTACATTCCAAGAGATCTCATTTTATTCCTATGCAATCTACATCTCCTTGGCTAATGTTTAGCCCATTATTCCTGACTACATTCTCTTGTGTCACCAGAATGACCCTTGCTCTCTCGGGACTAAATTAGGTATTTTGTCCTGCACTACTTCACACCATAATAATCTCCAGGGAAGCTGTGTGACTGCTGTTTTATTTGGAAATGCATGCGCACAACTAACTTCATTTTCATTCTCATAATGTGTTCATTCTGCTCCATAGTCCAGTACAGAAGGAGAGATGATGACCTCCCTTATTCTCCAGTCTTTCTGGATGACGTGTTCCTCAAGAGGAAAGCAAAAGCAAGCTGTCCCTGTTCTCCTCAAGATACCCTGGCTTAGACATACAATATGGGGAGGCTTTCTGCACAACCAAGCAAAGGTCATCACAGTCTTGCTTATAGTATCCTCACCCATGGAAAGCTGTCAAGTAGACATTTCCTCATCTGTTTTTCCCCTCTAAAAACCCATGTTTGTATTCCTTTTGTGTGCAACACATACTGCATTCTAGACATTACAAAGATTAAGATTGCTACACATCTCTGCTGGTTGCTTCCACGCAAGAGTAAATACAATGATATTGAGCCTTACCGTGTGTACTGCAGCAGAGAGGGGGGTACGCTGAACTGGAGTTCTCCTGTGACTGCGATTGTCCCACAGGACAATTTGCCCAGAGTATGTTCCTCCAACAACCAGGTTTGGATGAAAGCGAGCAAAGCAGACAGACATCACAGAAGACTAGAGTAAAACAGGGTAGAGTAGAGGTTTCAGGTTCATTGTCAGTCAACTTCATTGCTATTTCTCAGAACATCTGGTACATTTATATTCTCAGAAATACATAGCACATAACTCTGATCCAGCACGCTGAGAACATCTGCAACTTTTACTGAAGTCAATGGGACACTTACAAAGAATGCTGCACTGCACCTAATATTTGTAGTCCAATTGATTTTAGAGAACAAGTTGGTAGGGTAGGCATAATGAATTTGGGATAGTAAAATGCTGACTAGGATACCATTGCCAAGGAGATGATGTTAAAGTGCTTCCTCTAGGTTTCTTTTTTTTTTCTTTTTTTTTTAAAGTTTTTATGCAATAAAAGTAAATATTTCTATTTTATTTTAAACCCAACAGGTGAACCTCTACACTAGGCTTGTCCAACAAATGGCCTGTGGGCTGTCATGCAGCCCACCAAGCCATTTTGTGAGGCTCAAGGTGCTGCAATGGAAAACTAAAGTAAACACTGTACTTTCATTTTGGGGTGGGGGGTGATGTGATACCGCTTCCTGTGAGGTCTTTGAATATGGCTCGCCAGCCCACTGGGTGATAAAAAGTTTATGATCCAGCCCCACATTCAAAAAGGTTGGACACCCCTGCTCTACACCACTATTCCTCCTCCTTGAGCCTCCCACCCCACCTTACTCCATCACAGAGACCTTTATGATACCTATAATACCTAACTCCAAGTAATGTGCTTTGTTCATGAATATGATCTCCAGCAGATCATTCAAACTCACTATGAGTCAAGGAGAAAAAAAATGCAGAGTATGAACTTTGAAGAATGGAGTCCCCCAATACTTTTCAAGGTTTACAACTCAGACTGCCCACATACAGCATCTAAGCAATATGTGTTTGCTGATGATGTTACCATAGTAGTCCAAGGAACAGACATGACAGAATTGGAAAAGATACTGAATACTGACATGAAACTCATTACTGTCTCCACAAGTGGTGCCTGAAGTTGAGCATCAATAAATCATTATAATCACTTTTCCATCTGGACAATTGTTAAGCCAACAGCATGCTGAATAGCAGAGTAGGCAACCATACTCTTCCACATAAGCATACCCCAACTTATCCAAAAGTCACATTAGACCATTCCCCCATCAATAAATATCACATTCAGAAAGTCAGTAATAAAGTCTCTGCATGGATACCTGCCTTAAGATGTTTAGTCAGCACAACATGGGGCACCAACTTCAAAGTGCTCAGAACCACATCACTTTTCAATGGTATATGCTGCAACAGAGTATTGTGCTCTTGTATGGTCCAGAAGTTGTCACACTAAAAAGCTTGAAAGTGTACTTAACAGTGTGGTGAAACTCATGACAGGCTGCACAACTTACACACACACATATGTACTCCCTGTACTCTTGGGCCTTAGACAAAGTGATATAAGAAGACAGACCCTAACATCATGACTAGCAATAGAGGTAAGAGATGATGAACATTATCTGCTCCATCAGCTGTTAACTGAAGACCCGAACAGATGGAAACTTAAGAGGTTTAAAAGTCATAAACTCTTTATACATGAAGCCCACAAGTTCTTTAAAGAGACTGGGGATGCTGAACCAAAACTATGGGCAGCAACAGAGTGGGCTGACCATTGGGAAAGGTCAGACCTATTTCTACAATTTTTATACCAACACCAAACAAGTCCTGCATTGGGCACGATTTTGACAGAGAAGTGTGGGTCAAACTGCATAGACTGAAATCTGGATCCAGATGCTTCAAAGCAGCACTTCACAAGATGAACATCTTAGACAGCCCCTGTGTGAATGTGGTGTCCAACAAATAGCACAGCACTTAATTGAAAGTTGCAAACTTTACAAATGCCCAGAGGGGGAAGATGGAATTCTCACGTTGAGCGATAATACCAGAGAGTGGCTTATAGACTGATATCTGATGCCATACAAGAAAGAGACCCTTATTCTTGCCCTCATAGGGTGCATCCAGATGAGTGCACACGTGCCTCTTGCCCCATCTCAAACCCCTTTGAGACAGGGCAAGAGGCACGGTGGGAACAAAAAAA